ACATTATATTATTTCAGAATTCATACATGTAACACTATAAAAAAAAGACAATGAAATAAAACATAAAATTCAGGATTCTGGTTGTCTGGGTAGAAGGAGAAGGAGATGCAAGCAGGAAGATAAGAAACCCACTAGGGGCCAGCCGAGTGGTGCATTGGTTAAGAGTTGGCTTGGGACGCCAGCTGAGCAGCAGGGCCCTGGTTTGGATCCCACATGAGGGCCAGTGATGCTGCGCCCTCTATAGCTAAGATGGTGAACAACAGCTTGATCTGGAGCTGCACTTCTGCAGCCCCTGCTGCAGTGGGCTGCTGTGAGCTACCGTGAGTGGCTGGCAGCCAGTGTGAGTGGCCAGCAGCCAGCGTGAATTGCTAAGAGCCGCTGTGAGCGGCCATCCAGTGGCCGGTGACCAATCTGCCTCACCTGGGAAAAGCGCAATGATAATACTAACATGGGCCAGTGAAGCGACGTCCTCCACAACTAAACTGAAGAACAAAAGGACAGCAACTTGTCTGTTCTACTTCCCCAAATCCCCAATAAAATCTTTAAAAAAAAAAGAAACCCATTAGTTTTACATTCTTTGTCGCAAATTGACGGATCCATGTGTATTTGTTTAATTATTATAGCTTATATATAAGTTTTATATATATATTCTTTTATATTTACAAAATATTTATAATTTAAAAAGGAACATTCATAGCATAAGAAAAACTCTTGAAAATTAAAAATGTGATAGCAGGAAATAATTATCCCGGAGTTTAAGCTGAAAACCTCCAGAAATTAAACAAAACAATAGAGATGAAAAAATGCTTTTAAATTAAAAAGATGAAGAGATGGATAATGGAGAGAAAGAAAGAAGTAAATTAGAGGATCAGTATAAAAGAACCTACTTCTAAATAAGGGGAGATTCAGAAAGAGAGAAAAGGCAACATGAAAGGAAGGAAATAACACAAAAGAAATAATATAAAATAATCTCCCTAAACTGAAGCTCTTGAGTTTCCAGATTGAATAAGCCCACCAAATTCCCTGCACAAAAGTCTTGATCCCTTAGAGACACATACTCAAATATTTATATTGGGTCATCGGAGAAGTCATGACATATGTTTGCAACAGATGGCACTAGTTCATTTCTGGAAGTGCTACAGTCATTCGCATCTATGTTATTGCTATGTCATTTGACAGCTGACAGTTCTAGCTTCATTCGAAAAAAATTGAGTTATTTGGTTGAGTTTTGGAGATTTTACAACAAGTTGAAGATGGAAAACCAAACTGCATTTTCGCCGTATTTTACTGTTTTACTTCCATAGAGGGAAGAATGCACGTCAAGCTTGTGAAAAGTTGCATGAAGTTTACGGTGACAATGCTCTATAAGAACGTCAGTGCCAACGATGGTTCACGAATTTCCGTGCTGGTGATTTTGATCTCAATGACGCTCCTCAGTCAGGGAGGTCCACCAAGGTTGATGATGACAAAATAAAGGCATTGATCGAGTCAAACCCACGTTACACAAGAGATTGCAGAAACATTGAACATCCA